ATTTATTTGTAGTTGATTTATCTTATTTATTTGCATGCATTGTTAGGAATCCCTAAGGTCATGTGTTGGGAAAAACATATTTTTGAATATTGCATGTTTACTGCTAAATCATTGGGTGCGTATCTGCGGAAAATAAGTGTCCAAGTGCCTCTTCCCAAGCGCAAGGCATATATTTCTACACACCAAGAGGTGTCACTTGATTAGGCAGAATGTTTGGGTTTTGGATGTGATAAAATAAAAGGAAATTTCATATAGTAGAAAGAATCAGGACCCCAAAAGCACATTAAAATAGGCAAGCGGCAACGTTTAGGCACAATTCGAAGAATGCTAACATTGCTTTCTGCTTATTGGGACCTTAACAGTTTGACCTTAACTTTTTTTAATATTGTGCACTCCTAAAGCCTCCCCAACAAGGAACAGATTTAAATTTGGGCATGTTAACACGTTCAAACAACGCATCTTGAAGAAGCGAATGATTGCCAAACGCCTGATGAATGCCATTCGGAAATGCCTTTTTAGAACTATTCCATAACACAATTAGGAGCAGCAAGGTATAGTTGTTTGTTTTCAAGTCAAACCACAAATATTGAGCTTGGGCAGCATTAAAAGTTTTAGTTACCCTATCAATGTTGAAAGTTTTAATTTAGAACTCCGTCCAGGTTAAAAAGTTCCACGTCCTGACCGATGATCAAATGTCAAGATTTAATGTAGCAAGGAATCGTCAAGTTATGCCATTTTCTACAGCCAGTAGTAAAAACTGATTCAAATTTACATTAAGGAAGACTTTATTGTCTAGAAAGGGCCCATGTCTAGAGCCATGAGGAAAGTTGGCTTTTGGGAGTTGGACATAACACGGTTTATGCTTGGGGTGTTTACGTCTGTTTGAATAGATGGGCGGATGAATGAATGAACAACATGTAAAACTAACCTAGAAACAGAAAAAGTAAGTTACTTTAGTTTTAAGGGATTATAAAAAAAAACTTTATGAGTCTCTTTGGTACTAGTGAACATCAAAACAACTCGATTTCCTTAAGCAGGGCGAGGATTTACCCCTATTTTCACGCTTGCTGCTCAAGCAATATGCAGTACACCTTCTCCCTTTGCTCAGTTCTCTGCTTAGCCTACTTTAAAACCAAGTTTTGTACCTTCCATTGCAAGCCTGTGCTCCCAGTGCCTCCGATAAAGTGGCTGCCCAGAGGGGTGTAAAGGTTCCGCCTTATTTATGTCCTTCAAAATGGCGAAATTCGGTGTTGCTTTCGCCAAAATTTATTGCAATGAAACTAAGTTATTTATTTGACTAAAACTTATTTCCTTTGCCTGCAAAACAGATCTTTTTTCTTCTCCTTCTGGCATGCGCCAAATGTCCTCCAGGCTGCGAGTCTTCTCAACCTATCAGAGCATTTAGACCATCAAGTGGAGTGCTACCGCACAAGTGCCATTTGCCTGAATTTAGGGTGGGAAACTTTTGTGCACACCTTCAAATGGAATGGCCAATTTTTATTTCTGTCTGATTAATTACTCTTAGCTAATGCCTTACGGGAATTGTCTCAAAAAAATTATCCACCATGCATACTTAAGAGGCAGACGAAGAAGTGAAAGCAATCCGATTCTCGAGGGAGTCTTAAAAGCAATTCACTCACTTGGGTTCGAGTCATTCTAGCCAAATGACAGGAATTTTATCTACATGTCAAAATTCACATTGAAAAGAATATTTTCCTAAAGGAAGCAAAATTACTACTTCCATTTGATTTTTTGATAAAAACTCACGCGTGTTTTTAAAGTAGCGAATGTCTTGGCAACGCAAAACCACTTTAGGGAAGATATTTGAAGCAGTTATTGCCGGTAGTGTTTGAAAACTTGTGTGTCACTTTTAAATTACTAAAAAATGACTAGTTCTACTCAATGATTTGCAAAAGATGGTAGAAAATGCCTGTTTAAACATCAATTTCGCTCATACTTTGTGAAACTTTACAGCAAGCCTCTCCAGACTAAAACACCACACTATTCATCGCACACCAAAACCATTTTCATGTATCAAAAGATTGGGCAAATTTACCTAACCAATGTCAATCTAATAAAAGCCGTGTTTGCAGAGAAACCTGGAGAGGAAGCTGAGGTTTCGCCTACTGTGCACTGGGATGATCAAGAGGAGACGCGTAAACAGGACCTGCAGACGGACATAAAGAGGGGATTAGTCAAGCTCTTACTCACTTCTCTGCTGACACCGAGCCAGTGGCCTCGGCTCCAGATTGGCCGCTTAAGTCCTCACGCAAAAGCACCATTTGCCTCACCGATTTGCAGGCGACATCGTTTCCTCACAAATGTAGTCAACGTAGGCGTCATTACATCATGGAATAGGTTAAATGTTAAAATTAAGAGTAAGAATTATTTAGTCGATTCACCTATTGAATCAACTTGCTGATGGTCTCCCCAAAAACTGAATAGCGTTGACTTTACAAGAAAACACCCTCGAGTAACTTGCAATGTCATCGGGAGCTAAACACATCAAGTCCACCTATGGGTGCTCTGTCGGTGTTAAGGTTATTTATGAGTTGGAACTATGATAACTGCTGAATGGCTTTAGCACCTGGAAGAAGTTCAGACGTTTTTATGCCTTTCAGACATCTCTGCCATTGTTTATGAATCCAAGTTCATGTTATTACCCAATGACCTACCACCCCTAATGTTCTTCCCCTCAATGTAAAAAAAATTTTTGAAAAGACAGTAAATTTTTGCATCTCAGTGCTATACCACCACAAAACAAGAGTATAATTTTAAAAATGAACATTTTAGTCCGAACCGGTTATTAGATGTAATCGTGGACGATATAAAGTTGTTTTTAACAAAAGATCGCAGTTCAACAAATTAATTGCTTTAAATAAAGCTAAAATGCTAACCACCCCTAAACATAATAAATGGATGAAATTTAGGCCGTGCCTCGAAGATTGGGAGAGATGTGACTACTTGGTGGTTTTTCGCCTGGCGAAATATTCTGGACTGAATAGCATTCCAGTGGAAATTCATAAATAAGGTGTGACTTTAAAAGTGTAGCCAAATTTCTTTAATAAATTATGTTTTATAAACGCATTCCATTAACCGTTTACTGTCCTGGAAATTACTGTAAAATCAAGGCAAACACATCTTTTAACATAGTAGGATAATTTCCAATCCACAATAAAAGCAAATTTTACTTTAATCCCTACATTTTAAGTCCTTTTTCCTAGCTTAAAATGCAATCACACAAATCTGTACATTAAAGCCATCGAAGAACTTTTTAATTCGAGCGAAAGCACTACCCGATTCCATTCCTTCAGCGCATGCGTCATTATTGATAGCCCCGCTTCTTCCACCCGATTTTCCCCAAGTCTGAAGAGGAGCTTCAATGGAAGAGGCGTTTATTGCGTGGAATTTTTTGGATTTTGTAATGCTACATACCCTCTAAGGTGCCACAAGATGAGTCAGTTTTACGAGTACAGGCAATTGACGTTGCCGTTGTCAAATAACAGCATCTTTTAAATATCATTAATGACAACACATTTCGTATAGTTTTTTTGTCTGATTTGACATTCGACCCTGAGCTGGTACACTTTCTCCTGGCATTATTGCCAATACAGCCTTACAAATGCCTTCAACTTCCCGATTTAGCCATATTATGCAGTTGTCTTTTCAAAATACAAAAAAACATTTCCACAGGCACTGAGACGGCTTTAGCCGACTTTTAAATTAACTGCCAGAAAGTGTAGCTCTCTGAGACCCCCTAAAGACAAAAGTAGACATAATCCACGGGCAGAATATGCAATGTCTACGTACAGTAGGTCCAGAGGCTACAAGCATGGCCCAAAGGTCAGCCTATCCTGCAATATACAATGGTGGAGTACTCAAGGGGCCCCTTACCGCAACCGGGAGTTTAACAACCGACGCTTAACATAGACCCTCTCCTCTTTTGAGCGTTATCCCTGGCGCTCCCCTTGATCAATCTCCCGCATCAGCCATCACAAAGTAATTTGTGCTACAAGAAAAACACGCATCAACCACGTCAATTATCGAATTCTAATGCAATTGAGGAGATACTTGACTGCAACGTCACTGATTCCTCTTAACAATTCTGCTGGATCAGGAGTTTCTTCCCGTTTGACAACTGCATTAGGCGAGGGGTGGATATGTTGGCCATCACGCATATCCATAGCAAATAAGTGGAATACTGGCCCAAAAGCAGAGCCAAATAACAAGGAACAAGATTTAATACAATTTTGTAAGGTTAGGCTTTCGCTTCCATCTTTTTTTGCCACGTTGTTCTAACTTTAGATTTGCCCAGTCATATCTATCTGGGTTCCATCCAGCTGGTAGAGAAGTAAAGGAGGTATCGCAAGCTCATGTAAATGATATCACTATGCAGAAATGGTGGACAGCTCCGTGATGAACGCCTTTCAGATGGTTCACTACCGGTGTCGCTTCTACTGCTAATGGCATCCCTGCAGACCATGTAACTGGGACAGCTGCCGAGTGTAGACGATATTTTCAACCTCTCTGTTAAGAATCGTCACAAATTCTCTCATCGACAGCATATACACTCTCTTCGCCGCACTGAATTTTATCACCAAGCAGTAGAAATCAGAGTAGATGTTCTTTAAGAGCGGGAACGCTTTCTGCTACCACCAGTGCAGTGCCCTGAGGCTACTAGCGCGTCAAACCCACCCGGGAATGCGCAATGGTGGAGCACCAAAGTGGCCAGTTACCAAAACCGAAAGTTAAACAAACATCCAAAATATTACAAGTGCGATTAAAGTGACTCATGAAGGTAGTTGTTTACAGGGTATAAAAAGCAACTGCATGCTGTCTTTACCATTTAAAATAGTTTTTGAACTTCTGTCTGCAGGCTTTCGCAAAGATGTTACAAGACTAATCACTTTCAAAGCGAACTATACGTCTCTTTTTTATAGCAAGCTAAAAGTGAATTTATTCATTTTATAGGTCCCAGTCATTGGGGCAGAGCCTCGATGATGTTTTCTGACGATATTTGGCCCGCCTGTGCGAAGGGTCACTTGCAATCACCAATCAACATTCGACTAAGCGACCTCATATTCGATCACACGCTCAAACCGCTCATCATTGATGGCGTCTCCTCAAGGGTACGTCTAAGGTGGAATTAATGCAATATCAAAAGAGAGCCATTTATTCATCAATCTGGTATATTTCTGCACACTCACTACTTTCCTTGAGAAGAATTCTACTTTGTGGGATGTTCGGGCTGAAAATTTCTCTAGAAGAGGAATACATTTGAGCCAGGTTTTGACATCATTCCTCTGCCGCTATTCGTATCCTGGTTGAGGTCACGCAAACCTTCTTCGTTTCCTAAAAACCCACGAAGTGCCTAAATACCCTTTTTATACGGAGCTTTTTTAACGGCGGACGAAAATGCTAAGGCAGGTGGAATGCGTGGAGGGCTGATTTACGCATCCACGTGGGCACATCTTCAAGAATGTTACCTGATTACGGAGCATACTTTTAAATACACAGCCCAGAAAAGCTCAACGAAAATAAAATATATTTCTGTTGAATTTGTTGGAGGAATCCAATTTTCAAGCAGTGTGAAAGCACTCCTACCAATGGGCATTTATTCAAGAGGTGCCCTTGCAAATGTGCTTCTCTCTCAGTGAAGAGGCTGAGGAATCAAACCCGAGAGCACTTATTGCCTTTCGAAAAAAGCAACCTTTTTTTGTAGCTTTGGGGTCCAGAAGAATTTCAAAGTTTCCTGATTACTTCTGTGCACCTGTAATTAGGGGAAAGAGGAGTTTTATACTAGCAAATGTATAATTCTGCGTATTTTGACCACCGTTTGAATATCTTTAAGTGGTTCGCTTCAGTTAAACTTGAAGCATTTGGCCCTCGTTTTTCAGCCACTATGCGTCAATGGGGCGAAGGGTGGGGTAGCCAAGAGCAACCACTTCTCCAGTCCCCTGGCCTTTTAGGCAAGTGCTGAAAACGGGAAAAGGCGTTCACTTTGGCCGAGTTTAGTTATAAGTGGATCTCAGTTTGGCGATTAATGTATACGAATGGCATTTCGCATCTCTCCTTTGAATCTTACCGAGTATCTAAGATTTATTAGAGTTATGAGTGCTACAAATTATTTGCTTAGTAAAACCCCTTAAAAATCTTGTCTTAAACTGCTTTTCATTAGTGTTTAAGAAAACACTGCCATCACTCACTTCTTGTGCTCTTTCGTTTTGGGTATTGTAATGCTGTCTTTCTGGGTTTTTTAAAAAAAAACTTATTTCCATGCATTTGACATCAATCTGCCAGCTAAATATAGACCTCTGGAGACATTCGATTCCACCATCGTCTAATCAAAGCCACATGTAAACGACGATTTCATGTAAGAACAACTCAAAAATGGACTTTAAAGTGGATAAAATTACCAAAAAAGCACACATCTTATAAATTGGCTTATTGTTTTCCGTAATTTTGATGTCATTTAGATTTTTTTGGGTGAAGGCTAGCCTTCGATTACTTGCTTACTGGCCCAATATTTTGCCATAATTTAAGTGCAACAGTGCGCCTTTACTCACTTCGACAACAGGGATTTTTACTTTGCCCTCCTACTTACCCTTATAGGTAGATGCCAAGTGAAAAAGACTCACGTTCATTAGTTTAAAAAAGCGGGTCAGCCTCCTGCCCCATTACCCCTCGAACAGGAATACCCATACAAAATATTTTGTGATGGATTATCAATTCATGGTAAGGATTTTACAACAACCAAATGTGCACCTTAACTAATTTTGCCCATTTGACCACTGGAAGCCTGGTTAACAAGCGGCCATTGCGAATTTGCCAAAGTACCGCACGATTAATACTTACTTAAAACGCTACATGCAAATACGTGACTGCGGATCACCCTTTAATTAGGGTTAACTAGTCCTGTGGGAACACCTTATCCACTTCACTATAATACTGGAATTAGAGGTTTCTGTGGTAAAGAAAACATGTTACAAGATGGATTGCAAATCACTACTGGAGCTGAAGTGGCAACCCATGTGGAGTAGTTAGAAACTACTTGGAAAAAGTCTAGGAAACTGTTTTGAAGAGAATATGGATGATGTGCTTACAAGTGTATTAACCTCAGATGCTAATTTTGCTTCGGTGGGTTAAATTGATGATAATGCATCAAATTATTTGACAAGTTAGCAAATATTTAGCATGCTTTTTTGAGGATTGTTTTATGCACGACTTCTTGGCAGAATCGGAAATTCATCTTCTTGGCTTAAATCAACTTACTGAGCCTTGTTTAAATCCGTTAAGTGGCAGGATGACCGCAAATAGTAAATTCTGGCAATTTAAATATAAGATTGTCAAACGGGACTTTTATATTGTACAGAACCTGCTTTTAATTTATGCAGTTAGAAATGGCTTCGTGAGACCACTACATTGAATAGTACATTGAAGGGATGCGGACCCAAAATCTAAGTAAAAACCCAACTGATAACTCCATGGTGCTACAATCGAAGGACTCACAGTTTATTAAAAGGTACTCCGGACCTCCTCAACTCAAATACATTACTTTCAGAATCGAGTACTGTTTTTCAATTTTGCTTCTTCGTTGACCCAATTCTCTAAAGTTACTAGAAGTTGAATTTAAAACCCACTTTTGCAAAAACGCATAATTTTTCCGATTCGCATATAACCTTGTAGCTGTGCATTACGGGGAATCTAATTTAAAGAGACGATTCCTAGTCACCTTCTACACCAGCAAAGTGCAAAATACTGTATTTTTCACTTCATTTTTCTAATGCCTACAATTCTTTTAGAAATTTTGCAAGTTGGACAAGAGGGTTTGCGCCTTTTTCAGTACAATTACTTATTGTCGTTGCTTGGTAAGACCTGCAAAATACACACGATTGTTTATACGCCCGTATTATAAAGCAGAACTATACGTTGACCCATCTGTACACAGTATTTCCTGTTTTGTTTGATTCTCCACATCACAAATGTGGGCTGAAATTGAAAAACCTGATTTAAGCCCGTTTACTTTGCGCATTAAAATTCTGTTTTAAATCTATGGCAGGAGGAGTAACAGCATAACGTGACTTTAAGCATCTGCTTCCAATGGTGAGGCACTCAGAGGCACAGACCCCGTCTTCGTAGAACTATTGAAGAAATGCATGTCTTAATTGAACTTAAATAGAGAATTAACTTCCGGTAGTAGCTGTTGTGATTAGCAAACAGCCATTGAAATGAAAAATCACCTTTGAAACGTGTAAATGCGTTGTTAACTATTTCTCGCGTGTGATAAAAGGGCGCAAATTTTAGACGGTTTGCAGGTAGACAGTCTTGTGATGAGAAACGATATATCGCTGGTTATCTCCCAACCATTTACTACTATCCAGAAGGCCGTGCTCTTTGTGTGTGGTGGACTGCAGATGGAATTATTTGCGACACATGTCTTACTAAGGTTGACTTTAAATGATGAAGCTTGAATGAGACTACTTTCAAGGAAGGAATTCCCATTTCTACAGGACAGTCCAAAATTTCATACTTTTTCTAAACTCATCTACGAGACTGTTTGCTTTTAGGGTAGAAGATGGCGCCTCGTCTTATCCTCTATATTCTTAAAAAATTTTGCCACGTGATGCTTCTCATCTCGTCTTGGGATCGGACAATTACATGGGTACATACAAAACAGACATTTGAAGAATTCAAGTGCAATAGGTCGGGGGTGTCTAGAGCTGGGTGTGGAATTTTCAAGCTTGCATTTGGTCTGAACAGGATTGGCGGTTATTATGGCAATCATTTTGGAGATCTAAATATTCAAAAAAGCCTTCTTAAGTTTTTCATTATTCTTTAAAATTGCATGAACGCTCTGCATAGTCTTATGAATGCCTAAGAACGAAAATATGCGCATATGTTAGACAAAGTGCTATAAAGCATTCGGACGGACAGCAAATCACCATCATTTTTAAACAAACTAATTTTTAACTTATTACACACACTGAAGGAATTCTACTACCCCCATTAAAAGGTCAATGATGTTGAGAAAACGTCATGCTCTTTATTTCTTAACTTGCGTCTCAAAAACGCTTAAAATCACGAAGCCATTTAATGTCCCTTTATTTGCTTTTAATTAAGCTCGCCTTCGGGATCGTAAACGCAGGTCAGGATGTCTACTTCCAACCCGAACCCAACGAATCCAGTGTCTACTTCCGCGATGGTCCACTGTCCTACCGCTATCGACTGTATGGAGGAGTCATCAAGTTTGGCAGTACTTCAAAGGTTGGCTCAGAACATCAGATTGATGGAAAAACATTCCCTGGAGAGGTAGGAGCGTTTGATTCCAGGTTTCCCTTATTTGTGTTATGAGGAAAAGTACGGTGGACCTTTAAAAAAGCACTTCCTTTAGTCTGAAATCGACGTACTAGCCAGGGTTTTAATGCCACCCGAATGAAGATAATAGCTGACAAGCCATCGCTGGGTGCTTAGAGCATGCAAAATATCACATTCTGGTACGTTAAATTCTACTTGCAATACCCCCGTTTAAATACCATGAATTGCTTTACGAAGCAATGATTTTCGGAATGCAAAATAGTACAGTTCATCCGAAAAAAGGTCCAGGACACCAAAATAATACTAATGGCAAGCGCACTATCGTTTTAAAATAATGTTGAGTTTATTTTGCGCTTTGTAGAATTCTTTACAATGTTGAGTACGTAAACGATATTGCAGAACCCAACTCTCTAGTTAAGGTGGTATCCTCATCCAGCTTCCACTGTGGCTTAGGCTACTGACCCAACCATATGACTATCGTTTTGTAAAGACCAAATCACCTCACACAGGAAGTACCTGTTTGGCAAAAAAACGTTAAGATAGCAATCTGGCCCTTAAAGTTGTTATCTATCTTTTCCTAAATTAGCCGAACAGCTCCTTTGATGGCTGGAAATTTAGGAGTTAATTTTATCATTTACAGGTCGTATTTTCAGGGAGAAAATTAATACATCATCTCTTCAATACGAAGAATAATTCTTAATCCTACTAAAATGTAGCTCTTTTGTTTCAAAAGTAGACTGTCTTTAGCATTTTGCATGTTCACTTGCTTGATCACACGTGGCAGTCAAATTTCATCTCACTGAGCAGAACCACAAGCGTCTCCGGTGGCGGGACCTTTTCTTATCCAAAATACAAGTGCCTAAATCCTTACAAGTGGTCCTAGTACATACCAAACTAATTCACGTATTTCATAATTCCGACGCTTTTATACACGAATATTGTTAATGCCTCGAATCAACCCCTAATCAAATTGAACAACTGTTTACATGCCTTTTTAACTTCCATAATAAATTCCAAAAATTGATTTTTAATAGGTTCTATGAAGGCTAGAATTTATTTCTTCCTTTCAATAAACTGCCCTAATAACCTTGTTTGATACAAAACTTGCATTCACAATAAAAAACGCAAAGATTTTGCCATCTCCTCATTCAAACATCTGCTTAGCGTGTGTAGAGGTTGAAACAAGTGATAAGTCAGTCATGACATTCAGGAAATGAATTAATCATTCACATTTGGATATGAATATTTGCATATTTAATTAGTTTGTTAAAAATTCATGAATACATTAGCAAGGTTGCCTAGTGGACTTGAATTATCTGGATCGGTTTTCTGTAGCAACACAGAAGTGGTGCAAACATCTACTTCTAATTATCTTTTCCTACTGCAGATTCAGTTATATGCCTACAATTCTGATCTCTATCACAATTTCACCCTGGCAGTCAGCAGACCAAACGGACTCGCGGCAGTCTCGCTCTTCCTGCAAGTAAGCCGGATTTACTTATCGCAAATTATCAGTAATTTGCAAGCAAGATTAAATGCGTACAGTTGCATATGGGTGCTCTCCTCTTCCGTCCGAAGCCATGCACGGCACATGTTTGTTACCATCATTCGTCCTCCTCTTTTTCCAGATAGGCCAAAGTCCAACTCCAGACATATCGGCTCTCCTTTCCACCATGGCTGAAGTGCGATTAAAAGGTATGGTGGCATCTTTTTCATGTTAATACTTTTCATCCCTGACTGCGTAAACTTTATGTTAATTCTTAAACGAGCTAAAAAACTGCGATACTTGTAAATTCTTTGCAGTTTGCTAAAGAATTTTGCAAACAAATGAATTAGTGGCTTAAGCACTTTAAAACAATGCAAGCGATAGGACAAAAATGCTTCCAGAAGTATTTAGCTGTAAGGCCATCAAATGTCGAGCAAGCAGAAATAGTTGCTCTTTGCCTAATGTTTGTGTAATTGAATAAATGCGACTTTAGTTTTGCATTTAAGAGGCTGGAGCCTAACAAATGTGGTGCATAGTAAAAAATGTGCCGCCTTTCCGGAGCTTCTTTTAGACGAGGGATTGTAGCGATATTGTGCTAAGAACTCCTACCGATTTCCGCAACAGCTAAGTTTGTGAGGAAGAGAGTTTGGAATTTTCAAAGTCGCCGCGATGTCTGCATGGGCGATTAAGTGCATTTTTGATGCCAAAAAGCAGTCGCTTGACCTGTGTACAGCAGTGTTACACGCCTCTGAAGGCAGAAGATAAATGAGCTGAATTGTTTCAATAGCGCACCCAGACTCTGTTTATAAATCAGAAGGTTACAGCAAAAATCCGTCTAATACAGCCGTGCTTCCCCTTTGATGTGCTTTAAAAGGCCATCGGCGAACGCTCTACGGCCTTATTCTTCAGACATTGCTCCCGAACACCCACGAGTTCATAACATATCAGGGTTCACTCGGTTTCCCCGCCTGTCATGAAACGGTGACATGGATCCTCTTGAATGCGCCCGTCACAGTGACCGAGGAGCAAGTGAGTTCCTGAATTCCGCATACTTAAGAAATAAGACAATCTTTAAAGTAAAATCAACTACTCATGAATTGAGTGTCCCTCCTAACCCGATGGGGATTGTAACAGATTAAGTCTGTTTTAGTTGTTTCAAACGCCTTTCTCAAAATTACAATCAAAGTTACTTAAAATACGGAAAAAAGTTGGCATCAAAAGTCTAGCCAATTCTTACTAATTTAAAAAATCCGGATGAGTTTTTTCCGCCCTGTGATAAAGTTCAATCATGCGACTCCCATCGCCTCCATACTCTCCACTCCCATCACAGCGTAGATTATTTAAATTGCCTTCGCTTACTTAGTTGTCTGAATTTTTTATTAAAAAAAGCAAAGCAAGATGTATTTGTTTTTCAACTGTTTAAATATATACCCGCGCACATTTGTGACGACAACGTGTTAGGCAATGGAGGAGCATTCCTGATCTCTCCCCAACTAGGCTATGATTAATGCATTCTGGGTCACTGGTATGCTTCTGATTCTAAATTTGCAATTTGGTGCAAGACAAGGTTTATTTGCCCTGTTCACATAGTAAACGCATTAAAGTTGCTACACAATGGGGCACTTCGGATGCATTCCTCCCCCAATATATGAGGGGGGTACTTTTCAGGTGACACCCTTAAACCAGGAAAGTAGGCCACAAGTTTCGGGGTAATTTATATCTTTTTTTAAATTAGATATTCTCTAGTAAATAACAAAAGTTCCGTCTCTCTCTAGACCGGGTAATTGATGCCTTCAAATTTCTTTTACACTTGCATTGTATTTTTCTTTTTTGATTAATCTGTTCAGCCTTCTTTTGTGAAGGGAGGGGAATGACTAGGTGAAAAAGTGGAATATCCTGTCACAAACAGTGACAATGCAGATTATACGCACGTGAAGTAAAGAGGACATTAAAATGCCAAAATATCTGCTCTCTTTTGCAATTTTTGAAGAGGAAGGAAAAACTATTTGCATTCAATGCCTCTGGTGTTCATGTCCTCCGGCCCAGTTCCTCACGAGGTCATTAGTACAGTGGGGTTTAATCTCTGACTGCTACTTGCACGATCACGTAATTTAAAATAGAATGGGAATATTTTTAACACTCCACCTTTTCTGTTCATTTCTGTCTTCTAGTATTTTGCGTGATTTTAATCTCTGAGGCCATTAAAATCTAACAAGCTCGACAAGGCTTTCAACACAAGGTGATAAATAATCCAGCTGATGAAAACTTAAAATCGCTACCTTGTATTTGAAGTTGCAAGTGACAGAATCTCGTGTAGTATTACTTGCCTTCATCCTAAATTCCCCTTTAGCTGCAAACATGAAAAGATGAAAATCACTGCAAATCTAGCTGACAAATGCTTTTGCTCGTTGGTGTAAGACCAACCCGAGATGAAAAGTGTTTGTGTCGTGCAAAAGAAGAAGTCAAAAGGTTTCCTTGTATCGGTTGCTTTGAACGGTTAGACAATTTTTCCTCCGATTCCATTCTATGTAAATATGCAACTGGGGGGCTTCTGTTCGTCTTTTTGGGGGGATGTTACCTATATTTTAGCGTAAGTAGTACGACTAGTCTTATGGTTGGACTTAGGAATGTTGTAACCCTGCAAACAGACGGAGCGTTTATTTGGATTGAAACGTTTAGGTGTACCGACTCAGTAAAATGAGGGGTAAATCCCTTAGCATAATTTGGGTTAGGGTGTTCCTGGCTTCGATACCAGGGAAAGCTAATAAATTTTAAATGAGGAAGGCAAAATATGCGAAGTCTAGAGGCTGGTTATCAAACTTTTTACCGTTTTTAGATTATAAAAGTGTATCAAAAGTCACCGCGCGTTCTAAACAGTTCAAGTGTTCTGCTGCTTACAAATTTCAAACAAAATTCTGTCAATGTTACTTGAATAATCAGAGAGAAAATGGCAACTTGCATAGAATATTAGCGCTTGTACTGGACAGTTCAGCTGATACTCAAAAAAGTGCAGTTTCCTTCTAACTATCAACCTTCTGCATCTACTTCCTTGCTTTACACGCAACTAATCTCCCCATGGCATGTTTTGTTGCAACTAGTTAAAGTTGTATAAGAAAGTATGGACGACATATCCAAGTGCCACATAATATCCGGAGTAAAATAATTTCCGTTTTATCGTACTCCGGTGCTTTGAGCTCACATAGAACAGAATAAAGAGCATGCAAATGCCTTTACCAGCGACCTGCGTGGAGGAACAATAGTTTATGATATTCGGTTGTCTAGACATCCCGGCGCCATGTCTGGTACCGTTTGTGAGTAGCATAACCTCGAGTCCAGACCGCACGCTGACATGCTTTTGGGCGAACCCAAGTACCAATATGAAAAGGACAGAGCCCTGTGCTGCCAGCCATATCAAGAAACCATGCCTACGTATTTATCTGCGCTTGCAGATGAACAGATTATAAATAGGTAGGCAGTCAGAAGATAGACTTGCTTTGACAGCTCTTAGATTTGGATTCTTTTCCCTTATTCCTTCAGATTCCTTACCCTATTCCCAGGAGCTTCACTACATGTATTGCTTTATAAAGGGATCCTGTCCCCATTTCCAATGGGGCAATTGTTTATAACCAGTTTGGTGGAAGTAAATAAAGCGCAGGTATAAAATTACTTTAGATGTCTATTTTTTAAAAAGAAAATCGTCATCTTACCAGGTCTGATGTTGGCATGTGAGTGGACCCGTAACATCCCACTTTAAACCAAACAGCCGCCCATGGGTATCCTAGCGGCAGACATTTAAGATGTGCAGTTATTGCGATGCTCAAGCGTTTGACTGGTTGATGTATTATGCTTCCAATTTTTAATTTATCTAAATGTAAACTTAACGTACTTTTCCAACGGCAATCAGAGTTCTAAAAGGTTGATACCTACCCTGACCAATAATGAAGCAGAAGAGGCATATGATGATGATGATGATAATAATAATAATAATAGGCGATTGACCTCCCTTATATTAAGCGGAAGTAAATGATAAATGCAATGTTCTTTGGGCAGAACGTTGACTCTAGAGTCGGAGCATTCAAACATCCATCATATATGCTAATAGTCCTTTTTTAAACTCGACAAGTAAGCTTTTCTCAAATAGCATCAACGGAAGAGAAAGGTGTTTTGAAACTTCGGAATGATTAATTGGCGTGCTGTGGCGCTGCAACCACTATTACTTTGTCACCTACCTTGACTACCTGTCAATATATGATCCCAATGAAGGTATACATATTTAACATCTCTGTATAACGCAATTTGAAAGTAATTGTGAGCATTACAATAGGAGTAAATTGCATTTTTTATTAAGGACAGCATTACACTTTTAAATACTTACTTAGGATATAAAAACAACTCTTTTTGAGAAGTTAGTCTCAGGATATATGGGAAATTACTAGAAGATAGGTTTAATAGAAAACATCTGGGAGGGACAATACATCATCAGTACTTTAGTTCCTCTGGAGATACGACGTTTTCTGAATTGCCAAGAAGAGCCGCCTTTTGTAAGCACTTATTACTTTGTTTATTATCTATTAATGACCTTTGTTCCAGCCACACTTTTTGTAGACACAACCTACCAAGTCACAAGTAAACAAGAGGAGACAAATGGAACGGAGTTTACATGCATTCGCTCTGTCCCTAAACAAATGTTTCCCATCCACCAGAGGGACTTCGTTGGCCTATAGAACTCCTAATGGAAGGAGGGTTACAAGATAACACACACTACATGTTTAACTGATTTTTGCTTCCACCTAGATGAAGGGACTGCGTGACCTCAGAATGTCTGAATTCAAAAACGCCGGATCCATGGCAGACAACTATCGGCCCATTCAAAAGTCAAATAACCGCTTCATTCGAACCAACATCTACTTTAATGCAAGCGTAAGTAGTATATGTTCGGATTAAAAAGGTGTCAAATTTGCTTCGAGATTTGATAGCACAGATAAATTTAACTTAGCCGGGAGTAATCGCAATTAAACCTTTCCACTCACTCGGATTTTCCTTCATTTATTTAAACACTTGAGTCTCCATTTGTGAATGCCTTGCTTGATCGTTGTCGCTTAGGCCAACTACTCTCAACTTACGGAAAGGAAGAGTTTCTCAATGTTTCATTTCTATTTTTGTTGCAGGAATATCGACAGTGTGTAGTTCCACCGCGGCTGTCTTATGAATGTGAGTAAAGCAGAATAATCACTTGTCTCGTCTGCTGCATTAATTTTTTTTCCTGAAACAGAAAGAGACGGATTGAAAGATTCTGGCTAAAATTTAATATTGAAAGAAAGGGCACCAGAGATCGAATTCTCTGCACTTGAAATGCGATGAGTAATTGCCTAAAAGAAATTCATACATAAATAAATAGATTTTAATGAAAATCCCTTCGATGCAAACGCGTCACTATGCATCGGAGAACAGTTCTTTTAAAAACCGGTCTTCAAAATAATTTCAACAAAATTCTGCACATTTTTACTTTAACGTTCCGTAAACAATGATCTTTAGGAACATTTTATGTGCAATTAAAATCAACTGCCGTTATAAGATGCTCAGTAAAATTCGAAGAAGTTCGTGTAGTGCCTCGAGTCCTCCCTGAAGTCGATAGCAGTCATAATACTGGGGAAGAAGGTCCGAAAGCCATGCCTCTCAGAGAGTGTACAACTGTGGAGTGCCCACAGGACCAAGACGAAGGGTTAAACAAGAAACCAAAGTATTACCTAGCTGCCCTCTGTTTGTTTAAGCGTTGTCCCTGGCGCTCCCTTTGGTCAACCTCCAGCGTTGGCTATCACAGCTTGGTCGGTGCTGAAAGAACCAACTACACCAGTCATCCAATCTGTGCGCAGCTGAGATGACATTCTAACACAGCGCTAGTGACACCACCTGACAATTTCAATGGGTCTCGAGTTTCGTCCCCCTTGTGCCTTGTTTTTTTTGAGGAAATGTGGTGGCCATCCCAAATGTTCATCTCTGGCCGTAAGAGCACTGGCCCAAAAGCAGGATCATTTAATAAGGGATGGGTTTAAGGAAGATTGGTGGGAATCAGGTTTCTCGGCTGTTCCTCCTGGCCACAGTACTCGCATTTCACTACTGACAGACCACGTCGAACTGGGTTTTATCCAGGCGGTAGGAAGGTGGAGGCGAAATCGCGTGTTAACCTAATTGGCATCTACATATTAGTGTAGTAGACAGCTCTGTAGGGAACTTTCTCTGTAGTTCAAGACTAATGTCGTCTTATTTATTAATATCATCCCAGCAGAACACAGGATGGGGGTAGTTGCTGAAGGTGGACGCCATTTTAAACCATTCTGTTAGGGTTCATCACGGGTTACCCTATCTGCATCGTATGCCCTTCTTTCGTCGCGTTAATATTTGGTATTCAGTAGTGGAAATCGAGGTAGTTGTCCCAAAGGATCGGATTCGCTTCCCGCAGCTACAAATGTAATGCTCTGAGTCATTCTCGAAGATGAAAGAAGTGATAATACTAGGGCAAGGGCTACTGGCATACCTTCCTTGTAGGCCAGCCCGCCCAGCAGAAGTCCAATGGCGGAATCTTAAGTGTCTGCACAACCAGAACGAGGAGTTAAGCAAACAACCAAAGTGTTGCACTTAAACTCAACAATCCTTTGCGACGTACTAAATGGACAAGAAAGTGCCTGACAACTGCTGTTTCTTGATTGTAGCCATCTCTGACACATATCGCCCAATTTCGTGTGCCTCGGTTTTTAGACGATTTTCGTTTTACAGGTTACATGGAAACATGATCCAGAGACGTGGATTCAGCGAAGAAAATTTATGTCTTTCTGCCCTCTCCTCTATCTTCCTCAGCTCCTGCAGATCCCTGTTGTAAATTTCAAGTGCTCCTTTTTTATGTACTATATTGTATGTCAGTCTTTTCTACACAAATACAAATATAGGGTGCATCTACGTGTACGCACGAGAGGAACTGACCTAGGCTCCCTCGAGGTTTCCATTTAGTCAAGTTCGAGGATTGTGCGGACAGTGTGTCCAGGCAAAAAGGCATTATTTGTATATGATGTGACATTTTTTGTATAAACATCATATGCTATAATGTATTTATGTGTACGTACATGATTTTTATGGTGCAAAGCGCTAGCAGTGCGGATCCTAAAGTCGAGGATCTGTTTTGCCTATGGCTGGCTCTGGTACTGGGTGTAGGCTGTGAATGGTTGGGGGCCTTGTAACTTGGCCTTTTCTTGTAAGTGGTTTATGATACCTGGAAAAATATCAAACTGGTATAACTTGTTGAATACCACTACCAGCAAGCCACTTTCAGTTGTTGGTACGGATAGAGGCAAAAGTTTTGTCTTTCATTAACACTGCTCCTTTTTTATTGGAGCTTTGTATATATTGTATCCACCTTTATAGTTTGCCTTTTAACGTCTAATTTAGATATACAGTGGGTTTGCGACTCCAAAAACTTCATTTCGCCAACTCTCTAATTTGTTTTTGAAAGGCTTAATGGCAAATAATTGCTTAGACAAGGTTTTATTTTGGAATGGACGTTAGTTTTTTCTGCCCATAGTTTAATAAATAGTGCTATTTAGAAAGGATAAATATGCATCTAGTGAATAAGGCTTTGCCTGACCGCCTCCTGCAACAATGGACTAAAAATTATTATGTCAGCAAAGCCAAACAGTAGTAGCTCTTGCAACAATCCGATAGTGAATAGCAAACCAGTCAAGTCGAAGTGAGGAGGAAACGCGGATATGACTTTAAGTTGGATGATTTCGCATGTACACAAGTTCACTGTGAGTTTTCTTCCCGTCCTGCTGCAGGCTTGGCAACACCAAACACGTTAGACTGGCAAACGAGTGGTGCAAATCCGTTTTCTTCCACGCTGCAAATTTCACAAAATTAAATCGCTCTTATCGGGAAATCTAATCAAACTATTTTTGGTGTTGGGGTGCTTATCAAATTAACCTCTAGTAGTACCACAGCCGGACTACTTATTGAGGAAATGACTGCATTTTTGAAGCAAAGAGGGTAAAGTAGTAATGTATTATATTTGTTTTTCCGCAAAAACAAAAACCGTAGCAACTCGAGACTTCCCCAAAGACGAAAGAAGATATAAATCTAGGGCAGAAAGTGTATTACTGATGTACAGAGGGACTGGAGGCTACTGGCATGGGTTGAAGACCGTAAAACTTAAAGAAGAGTAAAGTAAATGAAGCATTTCATAGCCTTCCTCCCCTTTTGAGCGCCGTTCTCGATGATCCCCTTGGTCAGCCCTTCACATCGGCTATCACACCGTTGTTGGTTGTGTAAGAAATAAATAAACAAGCCAACCACGCTCGTCATCGAATTTGCGTGCGACTGAGGAGATATTTGACTGCAACGTCATTAATCCCTCTCGGCAATTATACTAGATCTTAAGTTGCATCCGTTTGGGGCGGTTGTCCCTTAGGTTTGGGCTAGCTTCCTGCTGTCGTCATTGCAGCGTCCAGAGTCCCTCCTGAGAAAGTCATCATTATACTTGGGCAGAATTTGTATTGCCGTTATTTAGAAGGGATAAGGATCTTAGGCATGTTCCAAGGGCCATGCCACCCAGTAGAAGCACAAAAACGGAGCTTTAAGTGACCGCGACATCAAAACGAAGGATTAAGCAAGCAATCAAAGTATTGTAGCTACACTTTATGCCAAAGGCTTTGGTGGTTTGCATTTCAAAACATTTTTAGACAAACGTGACTTTTGAAAGTTGTTTAAGCGGGTTAAGTCTACTTCGCGATCAAAATTATCCTTAGTTTTAAGTAAACAACTGTACTAGTCAAACTAATTTGCCACACTCTTGTCGTAATAACATCTAGTGCAAAACTGCCGCTTCCCTGATTGGGGGAAATGTCAAAGTTTTATGGACCCTAAATGACATGTCGCATTAACAATCTACTATTACGAGATCCGCTTTACCTACACTATAAAACTGCCTGATCAGTCACACAAATCATAGTTTTCCTTCGCCGTAATTTGCCCTCTCCAAATTATAATTTATCTGTTTAGACAAAATTGTTGCTATGCCTGCTACCAGGCCCAAAAAATACCGGAATGCATTAAACATTCAAATTTTGTAATTTTAAAAAAGGAAGGAGAGGTGAAGATAGGCATAGGGATAAATTCGGCTAAAAATACCGTTAACCCCGGGTGGAAAACCCCTTCGGGCAATTAAAAACAAATCATGCCTAAAATTTTGTGCGTTCGTTTCGTGTCAAGCATCTGAAGGCAATCACGTAGACAGGACTGCGTGTGTGGGGAATAATAGCAAAGGCTGATTATTTACCAACCTACAAAGTGAAGGGAATGGCACACTTAGTAGCAATGTCGCTTAAATGGCCTCACTTTATGCCTCCAGCCTGGTGTGATGTATTTTCAAGCGGCCAGTACTCGTGGAATAATGGAAGCCCAACTTGAAATCTGTGTTACACGTTTCAGCGGACCTACGCAGTTAGCTTCGTCAAGTGATGGAGGAAGAAGTACTACTCTTGGGCATTTTAGAGGCTAATTGCTGGCACTTTTACCCCCCACTCTTATGCGGCAAATGGGATTCGGACTTTGCTTTTCTGCTTTGCTCAAAACAAATCTTCGAGCACCAGTTCTCTTTCCCAAAAAATACAAAATCCAAATTATGCAGTGAGGAAATATGCTGACAGGCAATATATCACGAAAGTAGCAGTATGCTCCGGGTGGAAGGTGAGATTTTCCCTTGTTTACGCATCTCAATACAGTGTATGCTCCGCAATTTCCTAAATATCTTAAGACACCGCAAACGTAACATTTGGTTGTCAGAAAGAGGATGAGAAAATCTTCACGACTCTAAGTAGGAAATAAAACAATCACAAATAGTTTGAGAGTGGGAAACAGACTCTTTTAAATCATAAAGAGAATAAAGAGATTTCAATCTTACAAACAGAAGGGGCGAAAGCTCAAAGGGATCAGGAAGCAGAAAAATCCTTGTAAATAGTCTTACGCATGGAAATAGCCGAAGGGGAAGATATTAACCCTCGTGCATTGAGCATGGCGATGTTCTAAGTGGTTGGGAGATGACAGGTAATCGGTTTGCATCATTACACAATGCTCCATTAGAAAAAGCCACGACATATGGCATATTTTATCCATAAAAGGAGAATAATTGAGTTTATGGTTTAAGAGGCAGTGAATATTGCGCTTGACACTAGAGATGGATTTAGCAGCTCTGCAGCTGACTAGAATGTGGCAGTTTTTTTGCCAATCAACTTTGTCACGAAATTGTGCCAAAACATAAATTGGGCGAATAACATTTGCTAGATTACAACCGAATGCAATCCAAATTCCTTGTTGTCTGTAATTTTGTGCAAGTAGTTTCTATGTATTTACATCCCATCCCGACTCCTCCTTCCTTTTAGTAGCTTCCATCCCCTCACCGGTTGATGATAAGTCAAAAGCAGACTGCAGAGGAAGGCGTTGATTCTCTCTCTCTTTCCACAATGCACGAGGCGATGGATTGTATTTCTCTTCTCTCTTTTTTCCCTGCCGCCTTCTCAACTTCTCATGTTATGTTTTGTTGGGAATTGTATGCCCAAAAGAAATGATAAATGGCAAAAGTGCGACTTTTTCACTATGGAGCCAACTGGGTGTAGTTTATATTACCTCCGACATTGCTACTTCCCATCTTTTTTTAAATAAACTTCGGTTTCTCTTCTCCCTAAAAAACAGCCAAGTTTCAGTAGTAAAAGTAACTATGGAACCGTCTTCACCTACGCAACACTTCGGTAGTAAAATTTACGTGTAGAATTTTTAAGTCACTTGGACAATCAAGCGGCCTATTCGTATATTGCATTGCCCAGAGTGTTCTCTTTTCCCA